AACAAAAAGAAATTAACTGGGTGCATGCCCCCGGACCCCCCTAGAGGATGTGAGGTCATCACAAATAAAACAGGTTCACATGGATAGGATACTAGATAAGTGTGCACACTCATTATACAGACTACACATTTTTCTTGGATTTGTTAACACTATAGTCCCTAATAGCCTATATTTGTAGAAAGGCAGGAAATGGAATTAAATTGAGAAAATGTTTCATTGCTGAGGACCCCCTGTTTTTTGTCCCCCCCCCCACTTCTCAAACCAAAGTTACACCTTGGACATCAGTGACCTGTGCATGGTTTGTAATAGGATTAATCAGGACGAGATAATGGCTTTGTTGTGAAGCCAAAACAATGCCCTCGGATCTCAATAGGGTCAATTAGCAATGACCTATGATTACCTCACGGACACTGCTTTTGATAACATGAGGCCTCTTGTTTCTCTGGGACTGTCTGTTGTGTTGGCAGGCGTGATCTGTTTCACTTGGCATTTTATTATTTTTGTACAGACTCTGTTGTCTTTTTAACGAGGGGTGAATCACCACTCTGCATTATATCCATCCCTTATGATATGCTGATTAAATCGTTTATGTCACGTGTTTTTTTCCAGACAACATCACAGGAAGAGCTTTGTAGTGTAACATCCACCTCATTCAACACTTAGGTCAAATGAACGTGGCACATCCATTTCTCTTCCTGATGCTGGAAAACAGATTAATATTTATTATAAGGTTCAATAGTTGCTGGGCTCCCATACCTGAGCAAAGCAGTATTAGCTGTGTGATAAACAACTCCTCACTATTTGATAAATAATCCAAGAGAAACACAGACAGAGCTATGAAACTTTTATGCCCTGTGCCGCAGAGGCTCTTTCTCCTGCTGAATACCAGACATAACTCTGGTAGCATGCAGAATCCCAATATGTCTCGATTTCTTTCAATCTGTTTTCCTTCACTAGGTCTGTCTCTTCAAATATGTTTAAAATAACTTTTTCACTCTTACTAGTTGTGTTTTTAATGTTTGTTTATATTAAAAACATATTTTTCTCTCTGCATGCTTCAGAAATATGTTCTGATTGCCAACAGGTTGTTGTGCACCCACACTGTTAGAGTCTCGATATTCTTCCCCTGCAGCCTGCCAGTTAATTAAGATGCTATTTTCAGAGCGTGTGTCTCAAGTGCACAGGAAGCAGAAGAGAAATGTCCAAACTGAAGAAAGAAAAACACAATTTTTGGAGGATATCTAGTTAACAGATTGTTTTTTATTTGGGGATTTTATTGTGTGTTTAGTAATTTGTGTGACCATCTGGTCAAAATAAAAGAAACAGACCTCAGAGATCCATCACTTTGCTGTCTTAATTTAATTCATTACATCCTTCCGCAAACATACTGGACTGTAACAATCTCTAAATCTTATTATCTCGTTAGTTTATCTGCACAATTAATCAGATTTATATCAAATATCCAATATTGAGACATCCAAATCATACTCTACAGAATAACATATCATTGGTTGGTAGAGATACTCTTAAGGAAACACAGTTAAGTCATTTAAAATATATAGAATGATGAAAAATGTTCAATCCCTCCAATATCATGAAATATATCACATTTGCAGTTTGTGTCAAATTAATTGCAATTAGTCATTTTTCCAAATCATGCAGCCCTAATTTAGCCCTCTCGTTTAGCCAATTCTGGTAGCCATGATTATTTTACTGCAGATTATCATTGTTGAAAGTCAGAAATACATTCTACTGCAGTCTATCTATGTGTTTTGATGATTGCAATGGATGCTGCACTCTCGCTGTCTCACGGAGAGATACCGCAGGTCCTTCCTTCCTGCAGAGGTCAGACTTTACAACCAGCACTGCCCCTAGTAGACCCTCCTACACACACCACAACACAGACTATAACACCCCTTGCTGCTAAATACAAACCAACTTTGTGCTATATGTGCAATATATATATGCCATTAATAACTGTGTAATTTATACCTGGCCACTAAATCAATATATATATGCCGTTAATAACTGTGTAATTTATACCTGGCTGCTAAACCCTTGTTACTGTTACAAGGTATGTATCTTGTATTTTGTCAATTGTGTAACTTGCTGCTGTTAAATACCGTCAAACTATGTGCAATATGTGCTTTATGTGCAATATATACTTTATATACATATGCTATCTTTAATAACTGTAATATATACCGGGCTGCTAAATCCTAAGAACTGCTATAGGATTTGTAGATTTGATTTGTTTTTGATCTGTATTTTGGAAAATGATAACTTCTTTAAGTTTTATTCTTTTTTAGCATATTGTTTATTATATTATAACTTAGTACTTTTTTTAACGCATGTAAAATATGCAACACTAAGCTGTCTGTGGCTCTCTCCTGCTGTAACGCTGCAAATTTCCCCTCTGTGGGACTAATAAAGGTATTCTGATTCTGATTCTGATGTACTGCAGCCGTGCTTTCTTTGATTTGGAGCTTTCGGGGCGAGTGAGTTGTAATCACTTGACTATTGAGGGGTTGCTTTAAGTCACACTACAGAGGCACGGCTTTGGGATGGAAATGTTTGTCTGTCTATTTATATAATACTTGAACCAGACTGAAATATGGAAATAACCCATTGGATGCAGCCATACAATTATTCCTGCTCTCCAGAAGTGTAATCCTAACAACGTTGGTGATGTCCTGACCTTTTCTTCCAAAGCCACCATGAGATTCACATGCACATGTTTGGAGGAAGATGTCTCATTAATGTCTCATCATGATATGTAGGTATTCATGTACCCCTTGAGAAGACTTAACTTCAATTCCCTTAACTTTTCTATCTTCAGCTTTATTGTAGTTCTAAAAACGATAGCTGATCCACTGCACTCTTTTTTCTTATTCCGAAAGGTCATTTTAATAACTACCACGACCTCTCATTGTAAGACACGATCCACACAGAAGTGTTGTAATGCCATTTCAGCTTGTTACGATGTGTACAGTTCTAGCAACATATGCTCTGTCCTCACACTAAATGATGTACCAAGGCACAACAATGTTGTGCTAACGAGAAAAAAGCAGTGTGGTTTGGTTTTCACAATTTTTCTGACCTGAAGAAAACAACTCCCATGACCCCTTGTTACTTTTTGATGCCACTAAACTTTGTCTTATGTCATTGATTTGATAAAGAGACCCCTATCTGGAGAAAATGACATACTGAGTGAGAAAGAGAAATAAGGGACAAAATAATCAGTTTTACTGTCCTCCCCTTTTTCTCTCTCTTTGTGAAATGACTATCTTTAGTGCTTCATGAATTGAATGTACGAATATTGATTTAGTTATTCTGCAAACAGTTAGACTGTTGCAGTTAAGAAGAAAAGCAATTTTAACGATTTAACCACACCTGTGGCATTTTAAACCATCAGTCCACCTCTTTGATCCAGATTATGATAACACATTTGGCTTAGACATTCATGTCCCCTAAAGTATAACAATGAATGTATAATTTGGTGCTCTGCTCAAGGAATAATGCATCGCCAAAAGTATCATGCTGTTGATACCAATTTGTTCCACTTGCTTGTTTAATCCAAAAAAGAATAATGATCACAGTTCTTCCCACACAAAGTCTCGCCTCTTGCTCTTCAGAAAAAATATATTCCCATGCAAATAGCGAGATTCTGGCAACCTATGGTGATTCTTTCAGGACCAATTATTTTTCTTCAGAACAGTGTTGGTGTTTCCACATTGCAACAAAGTGAAACTGAGGATTCTTGTTATGAAACTTGATTTTATCTCTGAAAATGTGTGAAAAAGAGAAGGCTGTAATTTTCCTTTTTCCAGTATACACACTTCTGACAGGTAGAGTTAGGTCATGCTGAACTGCCAAGGATACTCAATACAAAATGAAAACTGTTCACAACCTCAAGCAACCATTAGAATTAAAAATGGGACTGAAACTCAGGCTCTCAGATGTTAGCCTTTGTAAACCATTTACATACAGAAAAACCTAAAACACACTACTGGATGGGGGAGAACCACAGAGAGCATAAAAGGGCCGCTCTAATAACAACATTACAACTGTAAACTGATGTGTAAACCCAAGTCACACATGGATATATAAAAACGTCGCTATAAGTGTGTTTTCCTTCAGCTCTCCATCTCTGACAGAACCTCTGAGCCTGGTCAGCAATCCCACATCTGCAAAGGTTTAAAAACAAGATGTTTAGTGAGAGGCAGCCAACACACTGGGCACAGAGTAAACAGCCTCAGACATCCACCGCTCAAAGGAGACAGAGATGCAACCACCGACTAAACTCCAGAGCACCAGAGAACATGTTGCACTTGTCAGAGTCATGTCTCCAGTCAGCTGTGGTTTCCACTAGACATTTCCCTTGTGGAAAAACAGGAATCAGACTTTTGAGTGAGGAAATAATTAAAATAACTGCATTTGTATCAAACAAATGGCCCTGGATTCTGAAATATTTCCATACAATAAAAGTAATGGAATAGCCTAATGTTGAGTTTTAACTTGCTCAGTAATTCACACAAAGGGAGAAGTGATTGATGGTCTCCCTGTCTTTTCAGATGTGAAATTAACTGTATGAGAAGACATTTGTCACACTGGGAGCCATATAATATGAACTAATGTTTCTGTCAAAGATATCCCATATTCACAATGTATGAATCTTCTGCATTTGCCTGCTTTAACAAGACAGTAATATATTTGTACATGTTATGAATATTCATCAGGGACTTTACACACATTTACACACATTTACATTTCAGTTCTCGGGTTATTGTCAGCTAAACATCTAATTAAGTGTCATGTAAATGAGAACATTTAAACACTGTACATTGTGGTTAACAGCTAGTTTTCATTTATAGAAATCATTTTTCTTACAGTGACATTTTGCATGACAAACACCGGGAAAGGATTGCTGTGGAAGCTGTGCAACGAGATGAAATAAGTATTATTACACATACTGATGTGTCCTTGTATTCAAAGTTATCAAATAAAAAGCTGGACAAAAAGTGAAACAATTAAAGTGAGGCTGACAACGTCGTAATGTAACGGTCACATGGCGTCCATAGATTTTTGTTGAACCTGTTGAATCCTCTTTAAAAATAGTAAGACAACTGCTTTTTGGTGCTTTGGTTTCTATTAAGAATTCAAGCTGTTGGATATTCAAAACGGCTATTCTGAATCATAATTATCGTCTCACCTTTACATGAAAAAAACCCTAAGACAGATCCTCAACTCAACAACCACACATTTAAAGACTTTTTAACCTGATACAGTGACCACTTATGCCCCTCATAAATCAGTCAATTATTCAACAATGTAAAACACCGTAGCAATGCAAAAACAGCTGCACACTGTGATCATCTAATGGAAATGCAACTTCAGCTGTCGAGGATTTAATAAAGAAAATTGAGTTTATAGCTAGTCGTAATTATCTTGTCTATAGTTTTGTTTTTACATTTAAAAAATATACAGCTTTAGGTATTATCACAACACAATACACAGAAAATATGGAAATAAAAGAAAAACCTATACACAGCACACGAGCACACATATTACCCCTAGATTCCACCGGGTCCATCTGCGTCGCGTTACGGCTGCTGAAGGATTATTTGAATTATTTGAAGTATTAAAGTAACGTGTTATGGCAGGAAAGTTAAATCTGGTATATTCATTTTAATGTCACCTTATATATATTCATGTGTGTTAAACTTGTGATTTCTGCATTGAGTGACTTCTGCCTAGCAGATACCAAGAAGAGGCCCCTAGGGTATCTGTTAATTATCAATAGTCCTTGCAATTAACAGGGGAATTCCCGGATACATTTTCAGATAATGTAGTTAAAGTCTTGTAGAATTAATGTTTATCTCCTACACATCCTGCAGGCCTTGAGATTTGGGTCACCCAGCAGTAACCAAAATAAACGTCCTTTTGAGCTTAACAATAAAATGTATTCATTCCTAGTAAGCTGACTTTGGGGTGAAGGGAAGTTCAGGGAAGCCATTAAGCGATAAGAACAATTAACTTCTGTTAAAGATACATGATACGATGTTTGTGTGTTGAGGATGTTTAGGGGGAATGAGTATGTGTCCTGTCAAAGAGTCCTCTGTCATGACTCGAAATCATTGATTGGGGGATCTGCCTAAGGGCAGAGGCACACACACACACACACACACACACACACACACACACACACACACACACACACACACACACACACTACTACTAGTAGAACGAACAAACGATNGAATATTGAAGTATTATTAACTTTGTCTGTACAAAGTAGCCTGTCCAGGAAATATGCCCAAAATCAACAAAAACTGTGAGCCGGCAGGCAAGACGCTCCGCTTCTGAAATGCTTCTGAAACGCGCCCGGTAGGGTATGACGCCGGAGGAGGCCGGACCAAAACCGCGACGCAGACAGACCCGGTGGATTCTAGGGGTTAGGCTCTTTCACACCGGAGTACTTTTCCCTTTTAGTTCCGATAGTTCCTGGGATTTTGCGCTAACACCAAAAAGAGAACTTAGTTCATGAGAACTTTTCCCCCCTTTTCAGTCGCTGCTAGAGAGCAGGTACTTTCTTGGGGAGAGAAAATTCCAATTTCTGATTGGCTGGGCGAATTGCATACCACGCCCCGTAAAAAGTTTTGTGAAGCCGCCATGGTTTGCTGGCATTAGCATTATTAGCATTAGCACAGCGCACCAACGGAGAGAGACTAACTTATGGCAACACAAAAGAAAACATGGGAGCGGTGGAGATGATGAGGTGTCGGCGTTCTGGCGATTTACTCGGAAGACTTCAGTAGAAGCTGCTGGGAGTCCCAGCAGCTTCTACTGAAGCCAGTCCCCAACTCCGGGGACTTCCGGCCGGGGACTTCAAGTGGCAGTATACGCCGTGAAGTTGTTTGCGGCCTGCCAGTAAACCCAAAGCAGACGTCAGCGGCTTCATTTGCGTAATCTTCCCTCAGGGAACCTATTCCAGTTTGAACGCGATCTGCTCTTTAGTTCCATGGGGGAACCAAGTGCTGGGAACTAAGTGCTGGGAACTAAGTACGGCAAAGTACTTGGTCTGAAAGCGGCTAATATCCACTTGTTGTAGACCTTGGTAATATACAGAAAATGTGCTTAAAAAATTCAAAAGCTCCAGGTTTAATTTTAGTCAGCACTTAACCTATAAAATATTATTTCTAAATGTAACTAGATTTGAGTATTTTGTACCAGAATTGAGAGCCCTTTATGGAGAAAGAAAGAAAGACATTTAGATCTACTGTACAGTGTTTAACAGATTCCTTTCACCATGATTTAGAGAATACAGCCAACCTTGGACTTCTAAAAACCGGATACAAATCAAAATATTTATTTCATGAAGTCAGAGGACATTTTGTATATTAGAGAGTGTATCCCAGCTGACGATTTGTGTTAAGGAGACAGAAGTTCTAGAAATAATTGGTACATTGTTTCGCCTTGTAGTGCAAAATACAGCATGAGTTAGGCAGACGGCCACGTCGTTTGAATATTAATCTCAAAAAGTGTGGCAGTAGTGGTCACTCTGTTCGAAGGACGGAACAGAAATATATTTCCAGAGTGAGTCAAATGACAAAACACATAAAAAGGGACACACCCTTCCTCTGTAAAACTCTCTCACACACACACCCCCACACACACACACACACGAGAAAGACATCACAAGTTTCAAATGACGTCTCTCATTGTTACTGTCCCAAGTTCAAGATGTCTGCATTTCAAGTTTGTGCTGACATTGTGATTCAGCCTTTCCTCTGCAGAGAAGAGTTGGGTGTGTGTGTGTGTGTGTGTGTGTGTGTGTGTGTGTGTGTGTGTGTGTGTGTGTGTGTGTGTGTGTGTGTGTGTGTGTGTGTGTGTGTGTGTGTAGAGGACAGGGGGTAGAAGGTGTGCTTCAATCCCAAGTGGCTTCAGTTCCATAGCGGCACGGAAGTTGTGCCAGCAGGGCAGAACAAAACTGTGTGCAGGCTTCAGTAGCTGCTGTGCAAAATGAATTCAAAGTGGGTTTAAGGTGAATTATGAGTGTCAAACTGGGATAACCAGCACAAAGTCAGGTTGCTTATATAAATGCCTAGCTCAGATCTGCTGTTAACGTTCTGCATTCACAAAATAAACCCCATTGCCTGCACTGACACGTTTCCCTTTTCATTCAAAGCACCAGAGACGTGAATGAATAAAGGTCGAAAAACATTTGAAATGATATTCTCTTTGTTAATTGTGTAACCCACTCAAATATGAAGAAAAATTAGTGGCAGCTGCCATGTATCTGTGAGTGTGAGAGTTGGGGAAATGTTTTTGGAATTGTTTGTGATGTTTTGATGCTACAAAACAGGAACTAACAGACCCTACCAAGGAAGGATAACGTTTGGAGCAGCAGTGTTTTCCTCTCCCCTGCACAAAAGAGGATTACATAAACAGAAAAAGGACTTATAATCAATGGTCTCGTTTCTCCTACTGGATCACCGAAGAAACGACAGACTACCCGGGTAGAACATTGGATTATTAGTTTGTTCATTTTCAGAGCTCTATTTTGTTTGTTTTGTTTATTCCTCTATCAACTTTGTGTAAGTGTTGTTTCATGTTTAATACAATGCCGGTTATGTTAATTTAATATTGTTATTTCTATTTTTTATTATCTTCAACTCCTCATTGAAAAGCAACCTTTTACATAGCAATGTTACAATTGCTTATTGGTGAAACATATTATTTAATGACATTTAGAAAAAGAGAACTAAATGTTGACAGGATTTCTGTTATGAATTCATATTGCCAAAGAGGAACTGCCTTTTACCTCCCACTGTGATCACTCAAAGACAAACACATAATTTGCATTTGATGTATCAGAAATGTTTCAGGTGTGCTTGTCTGAAAAATATCTTTATAAAATCATTTGAATTCTTGAAGTCAAACCGGTCTTTAATGTAAACAAACACGGCTATGTTTACATGCAGTGTTTCCAAGCACAACACACATCATGAATGTGAATAGGACATATTTGAATGGATTTTCTTATGCATAAAACATTGTAGCATATCTAAAACCGTGTTTGTTTGGATCCATGTTCAGAGCTAGAACATCTTTCTCTGCCGTCTAAAATAATCTGGACCAGCAGATGTCTGAACTATTTCTGGTTATTTTGGATATTCACAATTATAACGTCACACGCCTGGTTTGAGCTCTAGATAAGTAAATCTGATAGTTGACTCCAAACAGCTTAAACCTGTCGCTTAAAATGATCTTCTGCTTGGCTCAAAAAAATGTAATTTGGCCTGGCATTGTGCTCCACTCAATGAATCCGATAATTAAGTAATTGCACAGAGTTCATAAAAAGCCTGCAGAGAGTTCTGTCACAGCACACTGAAGAGGGCGACCTGCCAAACTGTGCTATTTATAAATGTGTTGAAATGGTTTTCAATGCCTCAGCATCTTTGAGAGTTTGGACCTCCCACCAAAGTTCTGTTTCCTCCTTCTCAAGCGGAGAAACACAAGATGTCAGGTGAGAACGGTTTAGGTCCGTGCCATCCTCCTCATATTCTCACACACACACACACACACACACACACACACACACACACACACACACACACACACACACACCTACTGACCAGTTTGTTCACTGTGAGGCTCCTGTCACGCTGCCCACGGCAGGGCAGATGTCCCTTCATATGGACAAAGCCAGAGAGAGGAGACGGCTAAAATCTCATTAGCAAACGACTACATCAGTTGATCAGCATCCACACCACGGAGCAGCCTGGGGCTCTTCCTCCCACTCCCCATCAACAGCTTTCACCCTCATTCAGGAACCTTTGTCGAAACGCTTCATGGGAAAAAAAGAAGTACAAAAACACAACATAAATCTGAATCAAAGCGACAGGACCTTTCTGCTTGTATTCGGAAAATCTCTCTCCTATTATGACAGGTGTCTTTATTTTTTCTACCTTATGTGCACGCTGCTCTCTCTTTGCATTACTGTAAAACTGACTCTATGCAGCGTTTGGCTCTACGTCTTACAAAGCGGAAACATAGCAGAAGTTTCATGCCTCCTATATTTATCCTTGACCGTGTGCTGAACTCAACAATCTGTAGAGCATAGGCTCAGAAAATATATTGTAAATGTACTCTGTATTTCTCAGCACCTGCACAACACTCCACTATCCATAAATGACAAAGCTCGTTTATTATTGTTTTGTTGAAAGATACACATAAAAAGACATTTCATTTTCTGCTTACATTATTTAGAGGATACCAAAAATACTTATATTGTCATTAATGTATTCCACCATACTTATTTTAATAATTAAAATGGATTAGACTGACATTTCACTTTGATGATAAATTTTTCACACCATTAACCCAATGCAGTTAGTGAGATAATGAGAAGAAAAGCCTGCAAAACACACAATTCATAAGAAAAGCCTTTATAACTTAGCACACATTAACTCACTGTCAGAAAAAACATGAAAACAAGCTTAAAATACCAAATATATAAGCTTGAACTAGTGTTTATGCTAATGTAGTGGCAGAGAATCAGCAAACAGGACACTCGAGGCAGCGCATTAGGTGAAGAAGTTCAGTTCCCTGATGAAAATAAGCTCTTCTCAGAAGCATCTATGATAATAATAAAGGTCTAAAGCATAAAGCTTTGTGCATGAGCTCACATGAAGTTACACTTTCATACTGACGAGTAAACAGTTTGTCAATTCAGATAGTAATTAACAGCTCTCTCTGTACATGTCATCAGCCATTTAAATCTCTGTGTGATGTTTTCATAGTTGCATAGAAAACATTTCATCAAGGTCACAAAGCAAAACCTTTTGGTTGTCTATACAGTTCATTATTTATTTATCAGACATTTAACATGCACAAGAGCTGAGGTAAGGTTACACAAAATAGGATTTAAATGTGATTAGTTTCTCTTTCAGATTTCCATTAAATTGCTTTTGCACAGGTAATCTTTCTACTCATGAAACAATTGGACAGGTTCCCCCGGAGATATGGAAATTGTTTCCACGGAAACGGCTCTCAACATGTCGTTTTTTGGTGTCACCGAGTCAAGTCATCGACAATTATTAAATGGCTAATTGCAGATAAAATGAAAAGAGAAGTAATCAGAATAAGTGACGGGGGCGTGGACACTCATGTATGGCCGAATTATTCCTTGAGAAACTTGAATAAATACTGTTTTTTTTGTTCGTTTTTTCTATCATTGATGTAAGAGAGGGAATTATGACCCGTTTAACTTCATAAACAATAGCGCAGGGCAGCTTGTAATATGTAACTGAAACTACGAGTGCCAAGATTTAAATAAAAGAACAAGCATTTATTTCCGATTAAATTGAATGGTGTGATTTTATGCAGAGTAACAAGGTAACAGGAAATACATTTCAACCTTCATTATACGGTTTAAACTGACTTCAGGAAAATTGAAATATGTTTTTTTTAAGGAGCCTTGTTACTTTATAGGCTCTTAAGTGCACTAAATAAGTACATTTTTGACAGAAAATAATATTGATCTGCCTTTAAAGCAAGAACATTTTTCATATTTCATAAAAGAAAGCAAATTAATGTCTATTTCTTCCTCATGAAGCAAACTAATTCTTTATTGAATCAAAGCGTGATTACTTAGATAATCAATAGCTGCAGCCATACGCTGGATTAAGGTTTTTTATTTTTGTGAATAAGTTAAAAAGAAAAGTTTCAGTTTTGTACAATTGTGTTAACCACAACACTTTAAATGCAAACCCTCTCTGCAGATTTCTAGGTGACTCTGATCCGTGTGAGATGTTTATCTTCAGTGTCCGATCAAAGCTCAACACCGATTTCCTCTCAATCAATGAAGCGGTGGCAGCTCCAATCGTCCTTTCCTTTAACCAATCTGCCAAATAAATCTAACTTGTCGTACACTGTCAAAGAATGTCTCCAAGGGAGGCGAACCTCATCTGTGTCTGAGGCATGGATCTGTGTCTATATCATTCTGCAAAGCAGCCTAAAGAGCTTTCTAAAAGCTAACATTCTTTAAAGGAGATTGTTGTGTTATTGTGTTCATATATCAATGGTGCCAACAGCTGGAGGGACCTCAAAAGGAGACATTTAGATGGCTTTAAAGTGTGTGTGTGTGTGTGTGTGTGTGTGTGTGTGTGTGTGTGTGTGTGCGTGCGTGCGTGCGTGTGTGCGTGTGTGTGTGCGTGCGTGCGTGCGTGCGTGCGTGCGTGCGTGCGTCAGTAAGTTACAAAACTACTTTTAGAAAAATCTTCTTTTGCATCAATTGCAGTGACATTTTGCAGGTGAACCATCTCCAAAAAGAGTATTAAGCTTTGCCTTCCCATAAACATGTCCGCCTTCAATGGACATTTTAAAAAGAGGATACAGATGTATGCAGATGAACAGATATATTGTTCATGTATTCTTTTTTGGTGCCATTCCTCATTGTAACCTGGTGCCTAAAATACCAACAATTCAACTAAACTGCACAAAGCTAGTTTTAGTTTAGCAGTGTCTAATCCATAAAACAGAGGTTCACTCTTGTAAGCTCACTCTTTCCTAACTCCAGACTTTTAATGTTTTAAACTTTTTAAACTGACTTTGCACTGCTCTCTCCAGAGCCACCAAATGTTTAAAGCTTTTTTGTTCACATAGAGTAGTACTCCCCAAGACCAGGAAACAGACTTTGATATGTAAAATTGAGTTTCCCTTAAAGTATTCTGTTAGGTTGAAAAGAGTCTGAATCACACTCAGGCCTTCCTGCAACAAGAGACACATTACTAAAGTACACACTTCACAACATATTTTCAGAAATCATCAAAGTCTCGCTTTGAGGCTACAGTAGTTCCTTTTTTGTTATGTAGAGCTCTTTAGAAATAAGTCTGATATCTACAGTACATTTTATTAAAATAAACATTGCTCCATAGAATGTGGTCAGGACAAGCTGAACTAATATTGATAATACATGAACCTAAAAAAAAGCATCAGCAGCACTGACATGAAACACCAGAGGTTGAAGTAAGCCGTATTCATTTAATTGAAAGATTACTCCATTTAGTGTGCTGACGAATGTATGGCCCATAATGCCAGAAACGGAGCTGCATTTTTGCAAAAGTGGTACTTAAAAATGGTAGAAATTGTTCTATGGAACTGCTCTACACTAATTTTACAATACAATGGCGACACTGGCATGCTGAAGGATTTCAACTGTACAACCATTTCCTCATCACACAAACATTATTAGAATATAATGACTTTTTGATGCATTGAAGATTATTTGTTTTCCTAAAGATTGCTTTTGCTGATTTGAAAGAAAAACGAGTTAATGAATTAGTAAAAGGCAACTGAATCATCCGTGCATGTCTTGATCGTTTCACACTGGGAACAAACACACAATCTTTATAATAATCATGTTTTTGGTGAGCACCCAAAAGGCACAATCAACAGGAAAAAACAAACGATGAGTAAATATATTTTTTAAAACCTATATACATTTAACCTCATTTTGCAAATATGCAATATACCCCCTAAACTATTTATTTCTCGCACACATCCTCTTCTTTGTGATGGAGAGCAGGCCGCTATACCTTTTAGTTTTAATTGGACTTTGAGGAATTAATCTCAGTCACGGGTAACGGCACTGAGCGGCTCGCTCTGGGGATATTCAGAGCAGTGAAAAGGTCACTGATTTTCTGCATTTTAGATACACCGCTGGAAAGGAAATTATGCATTTGTAAGTCTTCAGGACAAACATAAAATGTGTTTCCAAGGCGAAACATGTGCCCAGTCTACTGCTGAGCCAAAGTGTTTGCATCTCACACGCACCTGTTTATAATATTGGCCACATGAGTTATACTGTGAGCAATATACTGTACCTACCTGTCCATTTGAATACAAGAGCACTTATTTCCCTTAACAAACTGACCTTTTCCTTCTTTATTTCTTTATCGTACACTGTGTTGTTGTTCCTTACCATGTACGTGATGTTATTAATTATTACAAAATAATGAATATTGTCATGTATGCACATAGATATAGCTTTGCACTGTACCGGTTAATAGGAAGAATTGTAGGCCATGTTAATACTGACACAACATTTAAAAAACAAAGCCTTCTACTTTATTTAAAAAAAGCTATTTTGCCAAGTTTTCTAATACCGTATGAATCATTGTATTCACATGGCAATCCACTAGATAAGGGATACAATGATAACGGCTGTTATATCTTTTCAGATTTGTAAAATCCTCTAAAATCCTATCAGATAGTATTTGCAAACCGCTATGCAGTGTGCCGGTGTCTGATAAGCATTCGCACAGAGCTGATGATTTCAGGGAAAGTGGGACTGCTGTATATCTATGATGGAACCTGAAATGGGCCATTTAGCTGCATTAAGGTACAGCAGCACAGGTGGGAAACACCATCATTAATTCATTATTAAGTGCTTAGAACGAGTACACTAGCCACACACACACACACACACACACACACACACACACACACACACACACACACACACACACACACACACACACACACTTTGTGGAGGAGTGGGGAATTCATCTTCATATAGTTTATGTCCCAACAGGCTGCTTATTTCTAATTGGCACGATTTGTATGAGGTCTCTCTTAGACAAAAAATGTTTACTCCTGCATCTTTCTTCAGAAATACGTTTAAGCCACTCTTTGTTTACACTGAGACAAAAACACTGGACCGACGGGAAATGCTATAAAGATGCGATGTAATGTTTAATTGTATTGAAAAGTGACCTGCATCAACATGGCCACATCAGTCTCCACTACCGGGCCCAAACTCTGGTCAGCTATAACAATTAAGAT